AGTCACTTCTCCAAGGCAGTTGATTGCCTTGCAAGTGTATTTGGCATCATCGTCCCCACAAACTTCAGAAATAGTCAAAGAGCAGTTGCCGTCCTCATCATAGTCTATCTGGAAGTGCCGGGACTCCTTGATAGATTGTTCGTCTTTGTACCAGATCACCTCTGGGTCAGGGTAACCTGGGAAAAGGGTGAAAAAGAACAGATGCCACAAACCAAGCCATTAAAACTATTGTAGTGTTCTTTTCTTTGAAAATCCTTGGCTTGACCCACTAGAGGAAGTAAGTACATTCAGCTGTGTTTACCATAGCAAGTAATGTTAGATGAGAATGTGTTGTGTGTGTATATATATATATATATCCTTGAATGTGATTCTAGCAAAACATGGTGGTGGCAAAGCCATGTACTCCCCCCAGATTCAATCTTTTCTTAGAGCAATTAAGCTTTAAAGAATCCTCCCTTGGGAATCAATGGAAAACTTAGAAGACTCCCACTGGCTCTCATAGAAAGCTTTTTTTCAGTCTTCACTGCTGCTGGAGTGAAGGATGGGAGGCACCTCTGATTGCATGTCAGTTGGTTGGGAAGGCCTATGTGTTGAGGCTGGCTCATGGGCCATCAGTTCTCCACTCCTGCTTTGAAATTGCTTGTCTAGATGAGAATGTGTTGTGTGTGTATATATATATATATATCCTTGAATGTGATTCTAGCAAAACATGGTGGTGGCAAAGCCATGTACTCCCCCCAGATTCAATCTTTTCTTAGAGCAATTAAGCTTTAAAGAATCCTCCCTTGGGAATCAATGGGAAACTTAGAAGACTCCCACTGGCTCTCATAGAAAGCTTTTTTCAGTCTTCACTGCTGCTGGAGTGAAGGATGGGAGGCACCTCTGATTGCATGTCAGTTGGTTGGCTCATGGGCCATCAGTTCTCCACTCCTGCTTTGAAATTGCTTGTCTCCCTTTGTACAGTCCCCTTGGAGACATTGGTGCCTATTTAGCAGATATCTGTAATGTGACATGAAAACTAGCCTTTACAGAGGCCCTTTAAAGTGTGTTTTAAGCATTTTAAATGCACATGCTGTTTCAGCTAAACTCAGCCTTTCACTAGATTCATCCTTTCACATGGAGCCATCTATGGCTACACCTATGCTTTTGTGCTCAGCACACTGAACCTATACATTCAGGGAGCTTAAAAGTACAACTGTTTTAAAAGGTGGTTTATTCTAATTTATTTTTATCTTACTCATAGTATGAAGCTATTGGGGACAAATAAGAAACAACTAGGGTTTTTTTTACAACATAGATAAGGTACATTGGCTATTTGCATTGACATGATTCTTAAATACATGTGTATGGCTTTGAAAAGACTAAGGCTACAATACTACACCCATTTATCTTGCAGAGATATGAATGGAATACAATGGGCTTTATAGGTGTGTAAAGGCTTCTGCTATAAAGATATGTCTTTAGGGTACATTTAAGCTTATGCAGTGCACCTGCTTTCTTGGCTCAAACTAAATCTTGTGCTGAAATCCAGAGAAACTCCCTTGAGCACACGCTGAGATTCCTCTGTTCCACTTAACGGAGGTAAATCTATTCATTTCAAAATGTATTCTGCAGTGTGTCTCATGAAGAAGCATTGCTTCTTGAAGTTTAAAGTGGAGGCAATTGACAGATAAGATTTAAATCATCCAAAGGCAAATAATACTGAAGGAGCAATACAGAAAGAAAACTAATGTTGGAGCAGCTAAAAACAAAGCCATCAACAATGCATCTCTGAAAACCAAGTACCTTCAATTTTGCAGTCAAATCTAGCTGCACTGCCTTCCACAACTTCTATATCTTGAATTGTTTTAGAGAAATATGGCTTCACATGGGACCTTTCTTCATCAACTGCTTCCAGGAGACTGTTGGCAGTGTCATCTAGAGGAAGTAAACAATGCTCTGTTAATCTTACAGAGGAGCTCCTCTGGTAATGGCTGTGATATCTCACAGTTTAATTATTGCCAAAATATTCCCTCCAATAAATAACCCCACACAAGCTGACAAAGTTCTGCTTTGTGTTATTTTTTTCATGTTAGTTTTTAATGGATTATTTTAATGAAGTACCGAGTCATTGCTTTGCTTGTTTGAGTGGTCAGTCATAAAGAAGCTTACTTGACAGAAAGCTTGAGGTCAATGGGACATATTTCTTGGGAGGAATTACTCAGGGATACCGCCTTCAATGCTCACAATCAGATAAACATTTTGACAATGTTGTGACAGGAGTAGGTTCTTCCACCAGTGTCATTCACTTCTATTGGGGAACCTCTTTTTGAGGGGTGAGGAACTGGTGACCCTCCAGATGTTGGCTGGGCCTGATGAGTATTGGAATCCAACAGCATCCAGGCCCTAATATGTACCACAGTTGATTGCTGCCTAGATATGTCTATAGAGCTTGCACACCAATAGTGGCAGGAGTAGAAGGCTGTATTATATACCTGGTTATCAATTCATACTGTACCTTTTCTAGTAATGATAAACTTTCGAAGAATGTGCACACAGCCTTAGTAATAAGGTCAAACCTTTCACCTGCATTGCAGTCCTACAGATCCCTAATCAGATGTGAGCTCCACTGAACTCAGTGATGCTTAGGTAAAGGTAAAGGTTCCCCTTGACATTTAGTCCAGTCGTGTCCGACTCTAGGGCGTGGCGCTCATCCCTGTTTCCAAGCCATAGAGCCAGCATTTGTCTGAAGACAGTTTTCGTGGTCACGTTGCCAGCGTGACTAGACATGGAATACCGTTACCTTCCCACTGAGGTGGTACCTATTTATCTACTCACATTTTTACATGCTTTCAAACTGCTAGGTTGGCAGGAGCTGGGACAAGTGACGGGAGCTCACTCTATCACGTGGGTTTGATCTTACGACTGCTGGTCTTCTGACCTTGCAGCACAGAGGCTTCTGCGGTTTAATCTGTAGTGCCACCACATCCCTCTAACAGCTTACATTATTTTATTTCCTTTATCTGATCTGGAAGCCTTTCACTTAACATACTGCTTCCTCTTCTCTTGGCAATGCAGCTGGCAAGGAGAGTTTTTTTTGCATGAGCCTGATCATCACTAATAATTTTGCTTAAAGAAGGTATCCTTGCCAGGTAACATTGCCAAGGGAAGGGGTATGTTTGCAGACGGAGCACTGTGGTACACAGTCAAAGTCACAGAAAAAGACTGCACCTGAAAATGAGCCATTCAATATACATGATCATAAGCCAGGTAGGAGGTTAGGCACCATTGTTCTGTATTATTTAAGGCGTTTGTGATCCTTCAACTGGATGCCAATTGAAAGCCCACTAGAGGAATATAAATACAACAGTCATTTCCTAACTTTCTGCTGTTGTTCCCCAATAATTTGTATTCAAAAGGATACATGTGTGTACCAAGTCCATGACACTTCAAAAAGAGTGTTAAGAATCTTTTGAAGCTTGCCATATTGTTCTCCACTGTCATACAGAGAGTTAAATGCCAGCAAAGGATGCCTTCAAGATGATGGTACAGTAATTCTCCATGTGCTCAGGAGGATATATAAGGTGAACAGCAGGATGGAGACCAAATTGGCCATCTGTGGCCTGTGGGCCACATAGAGGCCCAGGGGCCCAAAGACAGTCCCCATACTCTCACCACCCTGAGATTTAATTTTTCAGTAAAAACAGGGTAGGTGTGCATATATTTTAAGGGAGCCACCCTCCACGGTCCTGAGATAGGTGCTTGTAGACTCCAGTAGACCTCTGGAGATTGCTCACTCCCAATGTTGATACTCAGATACAGCAGTGTGAAAACAATCACAGTGCAGATATAGGCTTCAATATCAATGAATAAACATATAATGTCCTTTAACTTGGGCTTAGCAAGGCTAGGCCCCTCTGCAGATGCCTTGTATCTGCACTCCATTAGAAGTACAGTACCTGATTGTAGTTTCAGACTTTATCAAAATATCTGTACCTTCTGCTTCTGTCTTTTCTGAATTAACAGGACTGGTTGGGGAGCTTGAAGAGGACTTCCTCCCACTGAGGCCAGAAATCATTGCCATTGAGGACAGTCTTCCTATGGCGCGAACAGCATTCCCAGTTTTCTGTAATGTAGCAGAGAAATGCTCATGAATCCATTCTCACGATTCCTTATCCCAAGAATGCCAATAAACTGAGAAGCAGGCTGAGAAATCACAGAATTGTGCATAGCCTTTTAGTGCTATAAGAGGCAGTACAGGAGGCCTGGTGGCAAAGAGAGAGGAAGACTGATTCTTCATGAGGATTTCCACCATTGCATTGTCAGGCCAGCCTGCACTACTAGGCAGCTAGGTCAGGGCTTTTTAAATTATTCTTTTTAAAAGACAGCTGCATTTCCCATTCCCAGCCCCAAATTGACTGCCTTGGTATTCTACATTTTTCAGAATCATCATTTAATGAAGAAATCCTGAGAGATAAATCACCAGGAAAATTCACTCATAATTCAGAATGGCATAATTCTTAATTCTCCCTTCCTATTCCTTAGACTGGTGTTTCTCATAAAAGCAGTGCAATTTCTTTGGCCTTCTTCATTTACCCAAGTGGTCTCAGAGGGAAAAAAAATCTCATGAGATATCTAGCCTATCAACTCAGGAGTTCTTGTGCACAGGCTCTGTGCAAAGAGATGTATATTTTAAAACGCCACCAAGATTATTAATCTGAATTAGTTCAGTCCGTATTTCAGTACTGTGTAGGACATGGAAGGAGAATAAGGCAACCAAGGCTCTATTTACTACGTCCTGCAAAAGGTTTCCTGCAAAGCGGTGCATGTTTCTTTGCAACCAAAGTACTTATGTCCCTCCCCCTCCCCAAATGGAAGACACAAAATCTGCAGCCTGCATTCCTATCCACTATATTACCTGCCATTTTCTTCTAGCCATGTACTTTTTCATCCTGTCTTTGGACAGTTTTTTGGCTTCCATGTGTTTGGTGTCCTTTTGCAACCAAGGATGTTGAAGGCATTGAGAACAATCTAAGCGGTCCCTATAAGTTTAGAGAGAACAAAGTTAAAAGTTGCAGAGCACGTGCAGTTATATTAAGATGTAGACAGGAATGTGTTTGCTACTCTAGTATCACAATGTGGATCATCATTACACAACCTCTTCTAGGCAGCTGGAATCTGGCATGCTCAGTTTTTTTTAATGTGGAAGGCACACATACTCTTTGCAAAGAAAAACACAATGTCCTAGAACCAGTCCATGACACTGCTCACCCTTTCCTACTTTAGGACAATTAATCCGTGATTCAAGAAGCTTTTGTCTATCACTTGATACATGCTTCTCATTTAATCTTCATCCAGTCTACTCTAGATCAGAGGTAGAACCAAATAGAACTTGTAAAAAAAGGGACACTGCATGAGACTTTTGTTGTTGTTGTTGTTGAGATGGTCTTTAATTGTTCCAAGGGTTAACCCACCCACCTCCATCAGGCATTACCAGCTCATCAAATATTTGAGATAAAAGTCCCACTTATCCTATGGCTACCTCTAAGTTTAAGACATTCTACTGTATACTGTAAAACCAGTAGCACTAAATGATGAGGAAAAATCCAAATTCCACAACTGGGCATGTCTAACTATGACAGTAAGTCATGACAATAAGGCTGGTGAGTTTCAGTTGAAAGAGATTACTCCGACTCATTCTAGTCTCCTTCAGCCTGGGCTCTCAGCCTGGAATAATTTGGTTGCCATGAGGGATGAAATTTTCTGGGAAAAAGACAGAGAGTGCAGCCCTTCTGATCTAGCATCTTGCCAACACCTATGGTATCTTACTGCACTGGTTATTTGTGGTGGGAGCTGGAAGCCCATTGCTGTGGTAATTTCACTCCTACATGCAGAATCAATTGGTGGAGGGATTCCTGTTCAGCCCTGGGGCTATTTAGCAGGTTCCCAAGTTGCTTACCATCTATATAAAGCAGCAGGGTGAACTCAGCAGAGGTTGAGATAGGATGCTACCAATGCACTTCTCATATCCAATTCTATTTTTGTCTGTCAAAGTCAAGGTATGCAGGTGCTGCCTTGATGCAGTAAGGGGTTGGATTATGGCCAGTAAACTGGAGCTGACTTTTAACAAGATGAGGACTCTGACTGTTCTTGATTCTCAAGTCTGGGAAATGGGTAAAGGACTGGTTCTGAATGGGGTTCGATTTCCCCTAAACCTTGGATCTATCACTGTTCCTAGAGACCTATCTGGACTTAGAATCTTTAAGATGATTCAGTTGGCTCAGCAATAACTATTTCTGGACAGTTATAACCTGGCCACATAACTTTAGACAACGGTAACTTCCCATTTAGATTTCTGCAACAAACCCTGTATTAAACTATCCTTAAATATATTAGTGCAAACTGCTGAAGCTAGTCTGCTGGCAGGAACATCATACATAAGCTATATAATATACATTTGTAAGGAACTGCACTGGGTGCAGATATGGTTCTGTTCTCAAATGCCCATGTTTAACATGTTAGTTATGATGTTTAAGGCACTGAACAGTTTGGGAACTTGATATTTGAGGCAGTGCCTCTTCCTGTATATACCTGATCAAGTATTAAGGGAGCTTTCCTCTGTTTAACACCTCTGGAAGTGACCCGTTGCATTTAGATGCAACAGAGATTCTTCTCATCTGTGGCTCTCCAATTAAGGAATGCTGTTCCCCGGGGTCTGGCTGGCCTCTGTGGTGGCCTAATTTCAGCACCATGCTAAGATCTGACTATTTGATCAAGTGTTTATGTTTTATTGACCATAACTCAATTGTGATTTATTCTTCTCAGTTTGGGATTTTTTAAAAAAATTCAATGTACTCTGCCCTAAGATACATTGATAGAGGATGGCTTTGTTGTTGTTATGTGCTGTCAGATTGCCTCCAACTTATGGCAATCCTATGGATGAGTGACGTTCAAAATGTCCTGTCATTGACAGCCCTGCTCCACTCTAGCAAATTCAGGCTGTGACTTCCTTTATGGACTCAACCCATCTCATATTTTGCTTCCCTCTTTTCTTGGCAGCTAGAAATATTTAATGGTTTAGAAATGTTTAAATTACCGCATTTTTTGCTCCATAGGACGCACCTTTCCACAAGACGCACCAAATTTTTAGGAGAAGAAAACAGGAAAAAAATAATTTGTTTTCTTCTCCTAAAAATTGGTGAGCCTTATGGAGAGGTCCATCTTATGTAACACACCCTAGGACCCTTTGGAGGCTCACCCTGCCCCCCGGGGGTCAGAGGGGGCGACATTGCCAGTTTCTGGGACTCTGCTGAAGCTTCCCAAGCCTCAAAAGAGTCTGAGA